GAGGATCTCAGCTCGCTTTGCGTTCAATGGCGTGTAGTTCGTCCTTTCGGCTGGAGGAGCTCGGAAAGACTGATCTGGCCTTCCTCCCCGAGCTTGATCTTTCTTATTCTTGCTGTCCCCGTGGGTCGTGGACTCACCTTCTCTTTTCCTCTTCTCGGGTGGGTTCTCACCTTTCTGGTTCATCTCCTCCTCCATTCCGATGAACTGGTCCGTGAGCTTGAGAAATTCAGTCACATCCTTAGGTCTGTTGACAACCACGTGCCACTTGAACTCCTTGTGCGTTATGCCTCTCTTGGCTGCTGTGACCCTCACCGCAGGGTCCAAGTCAGGTATCTACAAACATGCATCATTGAATCTTTTGATGTAGTTGCGGATGGACTCCCCTTCCCTCTGGACTATGCCGAGGAGGCTTTCTTGTGTCCTCGGGCATCTCTTGTTGGAGACAAAGTGGGAGGTGAAAACCTGCACGAGCTGCGCCTAACTTTTGATTGACCTGGGCGCGAGGTTCTTGTACCACGTGCGAGCTACTCCCTTGAAGGTGGTGGGGAAGGCTACACACATGTAGGGCTCACTTGCCCCGACTAAGTGCATCTGTGACTGAAAAGCATCTACATGATCATTCGGGTCGAATGATCCATCGTATTTGTCTAGGGAAGGTACCTTGAAGTCTTTGGGCATTGGGACGACCAGGAGCTCGGGGAAATAGAGGAGATGGTATAGAGAGGAGCGGGGTGGTCTTCACTGCTCCTAAGCTCGCCTCTTCTTTGGGGAGTTCAGGCAGGCGCTGGGCTGTAGCTCGGCGAGCTCGATGACGTCTCCGCTGCTTCGTTGGCTCTGCATTAGTGCTGCTGGCCTCTGTGTTATCGGGCACGGTAAGCCCGGGAAGGGGCTTGGACTGTTGCTGATGGTTGTGGACCGAAGGGCCCTATCTATAATCCACAGCTAGGACTTCGAACTGGTTCTCAACGAGCAGGATCTTGAACTACGAAGGCCGAGGTGATGCGGGGCTTGGCCTGCTGCGCAGTGGGGTGTCGAGGAGGAACTTGTTGCTAGTTTTGGGGCAGCGGTGGAAACTGCTGTTGATACTGGTGCTGATAAACTTGGTGCAACACTTGCTGTTGATACAACTGAAACTGTTGAAATTGTTGCATTTGGGCCTGCATAGCTCGCATGCAGTGCACCAGGTCTTCAAGCTGGTTTTGGTCGGTCACCGGAGGAACAATGGAGGGTTCGGCGAAAGTTGCTCCTACTGTGGAGGGGAGTGGAGCATTCACAGGTGCCATTATCTGAGGCACATTCAAAGTAGGAACCCCATCCGCAGAGATGGGGACAGTGAACTGTCCAATACAAACTGCTGGGGCCTGAAGTTGCTCCCCGATGGCACTCATTTTCTGTGCTGCGTCCGACATTGCTAGAGGAAGCCATGGAAACCGAAGTTGCATAGTTTGGTGGAAGAAGGCTTTTCGAAGCGTTTCCCACAGAGGATGCCAATTGATGATGCACGACCTGGTCACTCCTAGCTGGAAGTGGTTGCGCTCCTAGCTGGCGGCGGACGAAGCACCTGTGAAGAAGAAGATGAAGGGATCCCGGGGAGCTCACCCGGCGGGAACATTCCGATGCTTAAGTTAGTAACTGGGAGAGAAAGCTGAGAGCTAAAAGAGAGAGTTGCAGAGAAAAATAAAAGGGCTAGAGTGTAGATCATGCAAGTTGCAATACCTTTGCTCTTTGGGGGTCAAAGCTCTTATATAGCGGTGTCCTGACAGATTTGGCATAACCGCCTCTAATTCTCTGCTACGGCCGTTACTTGCTAGTGCTGAGCTAGTGGGTGCAGGTAAGCAGATGAAGGGATCCCGGGGAGCTCACCTGGTGGGAACACTCCGATGCTTAAGTTAGTAACTGGGAGAGAAAGCTAAGAGCTGAAAGAGAGAGTTGAAGAGAAAAATAAAAGGGCTAGAGTGTAGATCACGCAAGTTGCAATACCCTTGCTCTTTGGGGGTCGGAGCTCTATATAGCGGTGTCCTGACAGATTTGGCATAACCGCCTCTGATTCTCTGCTGCGGCCGTTACTTGCTAGGGCTGAGCTGGTGGGCGCAGGTAACCGTTGCAGAGTACGGCCCTACCAGACAAGGGACACCTCTCAGGGCTGGCAGGCACGGCGCTGCCTGGCGAGAGACGTGGGTGCAGGTCTCCAGGTTTGGCAGGTATGGTTGCCAAACAGGAGATCTTCCTTTGATACGCCGAGTTACTCTTTCGCGAGCTGCCTTGTACCGAGCTACCCTGTGCCGAGCTGCAGGTGCCGTATTGAGGTGCTTCTACCCGAGGTGGCCTACTTAGGTTTGGGCAGGAGTAAATTTATTCTAACTTAGGAGGCTCCCGAGCTCAACCCGAAGTGCCTTCAGCTCGGGATATTCCCGACTTGGAAGAACCTTAGCTCGGGGTAATCGGAGTGTCATCTCGTAGCGAGCTGCCATGCTGGATCTTGGCAGACTGGTCGTGCTGAGTTGTCGCTTATGTTGAGTCATGTCCATGTGTCCCCTCATGATGAGGTTGGGCCAGATCACCCTCCATCAATAATACTAGTACTTATACATCTGTGGATTCATATTGGTATTATATAGGTATATCCCCTCACAAAGGGTCTGGTATCGAAATTGGAATGGGCCATTCTCATTCAGATTATTTGGTTAGGTAACTTAGGTTGAATCAAAATCCCATTCCTATTCAAGGTGCAATGACATTTCCCCATCTGAGGGAATGGCCATTCTCTTGACATCCATTGGGAATGAAATCCTACTCTAGCTAATTCTAATTTCCATTCCAATTTCTATTTGAACCAAATAAAATATGGGAATAGATCATTCCAATTCCGATTTCGATTCTGATCAGTGCAAATCTGAATTAGATGCAAAATTTGTGCTTGGCTCAGGTTTTCTATTTGTTTGTTTTGTTATTATGATTTCTTGTACTTTGTCTCTTTTGCACTCATAGGCAATACAATTCTCCATCATAAAAGACTGACGCAAAATTTGCACTACCTTCCTCCTATCTCAATTCTTTCCTATATAAAATGAGTAACATATCATCTTTCATCCTACCTCACTCCACCTTACTCTTAAACAAATAACCCTACTCTTACACCTTTTTATTTAAAGTGGATGCCACTAATTCATTTTATTTCTCACAAACAAATAAGAGAAAGGTGTAATTTGACAAGTCTTTTCAGTAAGATCTCCATATAACATAAATGGCCAAATGTAATGAGCTTTTGGGGTTCTATCTTTAAAGATCTACACTATTTGGTAAGTAACCCAGTCTAATATGATCTACAAAGCTATTCAATGAGATTTTAGGTGTAGAAAGATAGAAAGATTCATTTGAAGCTTTTAGATTTTTCTTTTGCCATTTTGGGCTTCTATGAGCATTTTAGGGCATAGGCATTGTTTTAAAATGCTTAAGCCTTGAGGCAAGGCGCTCAGGTCTTGCCTTAAGGCTTAATAAGCCTCACAACTTTGGTTTGAGGTTTAAGCCTTTATCAGAATAAGGCGTAAGCCTCAAGCCTCAAGCCTCAAGGTGTGAGGCGTAAGCCTCAAATATTAACATTATTTAGTGGTTTCATGCAAAAAAAAACATATTTTTATCATTTTATGTATTTTTTATAGTTCAAAAGATATAAAAAAAGCACTTAAATAATTATAGGCCAAATAAAGAGTACAAAAAAAAAAAAACAATAGGGCAAATCAAGTTCTATTAGTTTCATTTTAGTATTTTAGCCTAAGAGAGTTCAATGCAAAAAAAAAAGGCCAATCAAGTTATTGGTTTTTCTTGGATAAATCAAGTGGAATTTTTTTCTTAATAACATCCCAAGTTTGTTGTTTTTCTTATTTCTTTTCCTAATGGATTTATTTCTCTTTTTATTGTTTTTTTTTTTGCATATATCAAATCAACTACTTTGTTTCTTTTTTTCACAACTGTTGGATGATGATAAATCTAATTCCCATTATATAGATGATTCTTCATATGAATAATTTCATAAGATTGCATTTTGAAACATAAAATGTAAAATGCTTATAATTGTTAGATGGTTGATTATTATTTTATTTAATGCTCAAAAGTTAAACCTTATTGCTTATAAACTTCTATTTTATGGATATTTGTACCTTCCATCATTCTAACTTGGTATATTACATGTTATATTGTTATTTTTATCATTTATAAACTTTAATTATTTTTTTCTTAACTTTTAGGCTTACGCCTCACCTTTTTGGGCCACTACGCCTTTCGCCTTTTAAAACCTTGGGCATAAGTCTTTTTGGCTTCCTATCTTTTAGTGACAAATAGAGAAAGACCAAATTTTGAAAATCCCAAAAGACCACAAGAAAAGACTTGTAAAAGTAAATCAAAATTTACACTCAACCATTTTGTAATCCCATGTATTTACACCAATGCAAATGAAATTTGTAATGCAAATATCAAACCAAGCCTTAATTTTCCATTTATCCTGGTTTCTTGACATTTCCACAGTTGATATCTTGTTTACAAAAGCGTTAAAATGCACTTGTGGGCATTAGAAGCGCATCTGGTGTAGTGGTATCATAGTACCCTCCCACGGTACTGACCGGGGTTCGATTCCCCGGATGCGCACATTCCCATTGTTTCTTTTAAACAATGCTTTCTTCTTTTTCCCGCTCGAGATCTCGCGGTTTTATCGACTTTTAAAGCCGGTAGCCCGTAGCCTCGGGTCGACCCGTTAGCAGACCACTCTCACTGCCTTCTTTTAAACAATGGTTTTCTTCTTTTTCCCGCTCGAGATCTCGCGGTTTTATCGACTTTTAAAGCCGGTATAGCCCATAGCCTCGGGTCGGCCCGTTGGCAGACCGCCAGACCGGATCTATTTCTATTAGACTATTACATTTTAAACTGTTGATTTTCCCCATTTCCCGCCCGATACCTGGCGGTTTTGTCGACATTTAAAGCCGGTAGCCCGTAGCCTCTGGTCGACCTGTTTACAAGTGTTCGACATGGTAGTATCGTATAGTTGGAGCAAAGTGGAGATTGGAAGATCAGAGAGAGAGAGAGAGAGAGAGAGAGAGAGAGAGAGAGAAGGCTGCTTAGTCTTTTCGAGCCCTAAGGAATTCTCTCCTTTATTTTCGGTTTTCTATTTTTCCCTCCATCCCTGTCGACGCTATGGACTATCGTACAGCGCAGACCAACAACTGAGGAGAGGCTGAGACGTTGAGGTACTTCTCTTACCTATCTCCTTTAGCATTGCATATTCTCCCTTTTAGGGTTTGTTGTACTCTTTCCTTTTTAATGTTTTGCCCTTCCTTGTAATCGAATTTTTAGGGTTTCCAGGTCTCGTTTCGTGCTAAGTTACGTTTTTTTTTTTTTTTTTTCATTTTTACTCTTTTTTTGGTATCCTCGTTTCTAGGGTTTTAAATCAATTATTTTTTTCCACAATTCACATTGTTAGTCTCGATAGCTACCCGTAATGGAGAGCTTCTTTCTCTTCATTTTCTATTCAAAGTTTTATCTCCTTTTTCACCGAATCAGATGCCTTTGTTACGGAATGATTGAAACTTTTAAATTTTTTCAGTGCAACTGATACATTTGCGTTTGTTCCGTTATTTGAGCAATGCATTGTAAAACAGGTAGATAAAACGGGATTTTTTGTGCAGTTAGTGATTAGATATGAGTATTTCCTCCCCAACTATTGGATTAATGTAATCTTGGTTGAGATGTAAATGTTGATGACTAGATACTTTATGTACTTTGGACTTGCAGTACATCGTGTTTCCTACCTAATTTTAGGAATTGTAATTTCTTTGTAAGTTGAATGCCTACACTATTTATTTTTGCATTTTTGTTATGGTGCTACTACTGAATGGAAACTCGCCAGGTTTTCATCTTATACCATCTTTCCGTGCCATGTAATATAGACTCTTAAAACTAATCTCATTAATTGTTTGTTATGGTAATTCTCTGTTCGCTGTGGGTTTTTAGCAGTTTTATGTTGTTACCCTATTCCTCTTGATGCAATTTTGTTTTTAAGGCATGCATTGCACTACCGCTTGTTCTATGCAACTTTGTCAGGGGTCAATTACATGACTCCTATTCTGCCATTTCACTTTGTTCAGTGTCATAGCCATTGTTAAATTATGAGTATTTAAATAATTTCTTACCACTTCAGCCCATTTTCTTTTAGATCTATCCCTATCTCTTCTAGATCCCTGGCCCTTACACTTGTAATAGATCACTTCTTCTCACTGGTGCTGTATATGGTCTTCTCTGCACATGATCAAACTATCTAAGTCTACCTCATTTTATCACCAATTTGAGCTAGGGATGCAACTTGGGCCAGGTTAGTGGTTAGCCTGAACCCAACCTGAAGACAAAAACTTCAGGTTGGTTTGTCTCAGGTTGAAGTTTGGGACAAGGTTAAGGTTGAAATATATGAACCTGAGTGAACTTTAGGTTGGGCTAGGGTTGAGGGTATAAATATTATATACAAATGTATGTATTTATGCATTCATGCAATGATGCAACTATGCATCCATGAATAAATGTATTTAGTATATGTATTATCAACAATTTCAAATTTAAAGACAACTTTCGTAGTATGATATAATTATGATACTTCTAAAGCACCCTAGCTTTGTCTTTGTATTAAAAAATAATTCTAAAATCAGTGAACCTTGATTACTTAAATGTAAGAAATGAGAACATTTTAGCAAAATGAAGTAAAAAACTTGGCTAAACTGATCCGAACCCAAACCTAGGGTTAGGGTTAGGATTAGTGTTGGGAGTTCATCAACTTGGGTTGGGTTAGGATTGGCCTCAACTCGATCTAACCCAGCCCAACTTGCACCCCTAAGTGGAGCCACTTCTAGGTGGTTTTGAATGAGTTCATTGAACCCATCCTTCCAAGGTTTCACACTTACCCATCTTGACAGTTACATTTCTACCATATTCATTTTTTGGTACATGTTTCTTGGTTGCCCAACACTATTATATACAATATATTGGCTTTTTGGCCATTTTATAAAATTTCCCTCTTAGCCTAATTGGGGTTCTCCTTTCACATAGGACTCTAGGTGCACCCTTTCATTTTGCCCATCCTGTTCTAATTCTTTGGCTGCATCTTCTTTAATCTATCCTTTGTTATGGATTATAGAACCAAAACGACAAGACACTATATTGGTTAATATCTTCATATTGGTACCTTGCTAGATATGCTTTAGTAGTCGATCAAGACTACAATCAGTCTTGAATCCGAAAGTAAAAAGAAAGATTTCAGATGGAGAAAAGAAGAAGAAAAGAGGGAGAAAGTAGAAGCACAGGAAGGGTTTTAGGAAAAGGAGAGAGAGGGTCGAATAGAATCAATCTGCCGACCCACTATTAATATTTATATGTTTACTAATTGTAAAAAGGCTGAATTGCCCTTAATGCTTACATGGCAGATAAACTAATAATAAAGCTGAAATAACAAGTTGTAACAACAAAATTGAAATAACTACCAACTAACACTGACATAATTAACAAAGAATACATGCTGTGCTGCCATACGAACACAGTGGGGACCACAGCTGTGGGGTCCACATCAGTGTTCTCTACACTCCCCCTCAAGTTGGGAATAGATATTTTTCATTCCCAACTTGCATAGGTCTGCCTCTAACTTCTTCCTTGGAACAACCTTGGTGAGAAGATCTGCGAGCTGCATGCTAGAGGCGATATACGGGAGACACACTTCTTGAGATGAAACCTTTTCTCTGAAAAAATGATGATCAACTTCGATATGCTTAGTTCTGTCATGCTGTACCGGATTGTGCTGCATGATTATCACAATACAACATTAAGGGCTTCTCATAATCAATACCCAACTCTTCAAGAGACAAGGTTACCTCCTACAAAGGCATAATATCCAGAGGTAGACCTCCTGTCATCAGCACTCCCAGCCCAATCAACATCTGTATAAACCTCTATCTTCATGTGATCATTATTCTTGAATAATATACCTCTACCTGGACATTTTTTCAAGTATGTTAATATTCTCTCAACTGCAAGGAGGTGAATAGTTCAAGGAGAATGCATGTATTGACTGATAACGCTGACTGCATAACTGATGTCTGGTCGTGTGAGACAAAGATATAGGAGTTTTCCAACCAACCGTTGGAACATARCTTTGTCTTYAAGAGGCTCTCCACCCTCTGCACTGATCTTGTGATTCTGTTCAATGGGTGTATCTGCAGGCTTAACACCCAACTTTCCAGTTTCTGCTAACAGATCTAGAACATACTTCCTCTGAGAAATAAAGATCTCGTGTTTAGATCTAGCAACCTCAATACCCAAGAAGTATCATAGCTCACCCAGATCTTTCACCTCAAACTCTTGATGAAGGAGTTGTTTGAGGGACTCAATCTCACTATTATCATTCTCTGTCACCACAATATCATCCACATATACAGCAAGCAAGGTCAAAGAAGAGTCCACTCTTTTAATGAACAATGTATAGCCGAAATTTTCAAGGGCTTGTTTGAATCTATCAAACCAAGCTCTAGGGGATTACTTTAGTCCATACAAGGCTTTATTCAATCGGCAAACCTTCTTACCTGTCTTTGCATAATAAAATCCAGGAGGTAATTGCATGTAGATTTCTTCTTGTAAGTCTCCATTTAGGAAGGCATTTTTAACATCCATCTGGAACAAGGGCCAAGAATAACTGGCTGCAAGGGCTAACAGAACTTGAATAGTGGTCATCTTTGCCACTGGAGCAAAAGTCTCAAAGTAGTCTATACCATAAGTCTGAGTAAATCCTTTTGCAACTAACCGGGCTTTATACCTTTCAATGGAACCATCAGCATTATGTTTCACGGTAAATACCCATCTACATCCAACCGATTTCTTTCCTTTGGGCTGGTCAACTAACTCTCAAGTATTATTCCTTAGAAGAAGGGCATCCATTTCAACCTTCATTGCATCTTTCCACTCAGAAACTGACAAGGCTTCCTGCATTGTTCTGGGAATAGGAATATCAGCAATGGATGTGAGAAAGGACCTGTAAGAGGGAGATAGGCGATCATAGGACAAAAACTGGGAAATGCAGTGAGCTGTGAATGTGGTGCAATGCCGTTTCCCTTTACGGAGTGCAATAGGGAGGTCAAGGTCATCCAAAGAAAGTGAAGTAGCAACAGTGGAAGGTATCTCAGTGGGACCTGGATCTAATAAGGGGACTGTAGTACCTGGATCTGGATCTGCAGAAGGAACTGGGGCTGGCCTGGACTGTTGATGGTCGAAATCAACCTGCCTCCACCGCCTATGATGGACTTTCAACTCCTAACACTCCTGACAACCCTCCCCATTACATCCCTCATCACTCAATGGAATGGGTAAAGGAACTTTAGATGAGTTAACCCCACTCTCACAAACCCCATTCTCCCCATTCTCACTACTATAGGGTTTCTCCTCAAAGAAAGTAATATCCATCGAGAAAAAATCTCCTCCTGGAAGTAGGTTCATAGTAGCAATAACCCTTTTGAGTTTGTGCATAACCGAGAAAAATGCATTTGGAGGCCTTAGGGTCAAATTTGGAATGATGAGGTCCAAGAATCTGAACAAAGAAGGTGCAACCAAAGGTTTTAAGGGGAACAATAAATAATTCTTCATTTGGGTATAGAAGGGTAAACGGAGGCTTCAAGTCAAGAACCCTGAAGGAACGCGATTAATGAGATACACTGCTGTGAGAATAGCATTGCCCCAGAAACGGATAGGCACATTGGAGGTAAACATAATGCTTCTAACCACCTCCAAAATGTGCCTATTCTTCCTCTCGGCAACCCCATTCTGCTGTGGTGTATAAGGAAAAGTACTCTGGTGAATAATCCCATGAGCAAGTAGATAAGAGGCCAGTGGCTTGGTAAAGTATTCTTTCGCATTATCAGATCTGAGGATTTTGATTTTGATCCCGAACTGGGTTAAAATCATCTGATGAAAGGTCTGGGTCAGGATAGGAACCTCATCTCGAGAACGCATAAGATAAACTCAAGAAAAACGGGTATAGTCATTAACAAACAACAAGAAATATCTGTACCCCCCATAGAAGGGATGTGATACGGGCCCCAAACATCGGTATGCACAACATCAAAAGAATTACTACTTCTTTTATTACTCAAGGAATAAGATGTTCTAYAATGCTTTGCAAGCTCACAACTCTYACATCTCAAATTTGACATYTGAACAKACTCAAACAAATTAGGAAACAAACTCTTCAAAGACCGAAATGATAAATGACCTAACCGATTATGCCAAAGCATAACCGGGCTAACAGACTGAGAAACAAAAGGCTTCTTATCTTTATGATCTTTCCAATGAGAACTCTCTCCAAGCAGATAGATCCCATTCGTCTCACGGCCAGTCCCAATCACCTTCCTTGTCTCCAARTCCTGAAAAACACATCGGTCAGGGAAGAAGGTTACTGAACAGTTCTGATGTTTTGTAATACTACTGACTGAAAGCAAGTTAGTATCAAGCTTAGGAACATGCAAAACTGAGGATAAGGAAATGGTATTAGACAACTTGATGTCTCCCTTGCCAGAAATGGGAACAAGGGAACCATCAACAATGGACACTTTATCTCTACCAGAAGATAAGTGATAGGTAGTGAACAGTGATGGCAAGCTAGTCATATGGTCAGATGCACCTGAGTCTACCTTATGCTATGGTTCCTTCCATTCAGCCATATGATGAGTTAGAAAGCAACTTGTCAAGAAAACTATGCCCATTCTACCTTAATGCTCTACAAAGAGTGTATGGTAATAATCAGTGCTTGATTGTCTTATTTTCTCTAGACTAATAACAATTACAATTTCAATTTTACTTTGTTAATTTTCTAGTTAACCCTATGAACCTTTTAGACTCTATTTTCATTATTTTGGCCCCTTTTTATGTCAGCAAGTATTTGAATGGCTTCGTTACAAGCATCATTAAGAGTAAAACCTTAAGCAAGTAAGATCAATGAAAAAACAGAAAATCTTAATCAGGCAATTCCCTCCTCAGAGATGTTTTGTATTTCTTTATTTCTTCACCCATGTTCTTATTGCTTGATTGATTTTTTTCTCTTATTCATGTTGTCCTTTAATCTGTTAAAATCGGAAGACATAATTTATAGATAAGGACAACTGAGCTGGCCTAGGTTAGGGGAGGATTCTTTTGTTGTGAGACCTTGGGGTGTACAAATTTGTTTCATCTGTGCTTGTGAAGTAGAAGTTTGGTAGTCTCCCTCCCACACTCAGCCTGATTACACACCAAGGAAATAGATGCTTTTTGCACAGTTTTCAAGGTGCCCAGGTGAGGCTAGGCGATTGGGGGGTGCCCGCCTAGTCGCCTAGGCGATGAATTTTTTTTTATGTTAAAAAATAGATCATAGGGTAGTTCCCTAGGTACCATAACCATATTTCTTTAATAATTATTCATGGTTTTCATAAGAAAAGTATACATTTCATATTAAAGTAGTAGCAGTAGCAGTAGCAGTAGCAGTAGCAGTAGCAGCTGCAGATTGGGACTGAGTCATCATTCAATTAGTGCACTATTTAGAGGCCATTTGATAACAACTAAAGATTCTGAACTGAAAAGCTTATTGCTTTGTCTTTTAGTGAATAAGTTGTTAAGGTGGTTGTAGGTTCCTTAATGGCTAAAACTGAAGTTGGGTAGATCACTATACCCTTGAAAATTTTATTATTTAAATATTTTAGCAACTAAAAAATAAAGCAACAAGTCTTTAAGTTGAGCAACTTTAGTTGTTGTCAAATGGTCCCTTAAATAACATTCATTTCTTGTTTTCTTTTAGGTAGAGTTAGTTCTCCAATTTCCTGCCAGATGCTTTTTTTTTTGTATTTTTTATCAGTAACTATTGCTATTGAATTAAAATAAAGAAAACCAAACACATATGCAATGTGTGCATTGTATAAACTTCATATTCTTTTTTTATTGGTAACGCCTCAATTTTCTCCTTGTATCTTCCCCATTTTCCTCTATACAAAGAAAAAAGTGTGCTGCTTGCATAAGATAAGCCAGTAGTGGATGTTAGAGTCCTACGACTTTGAATCTCTTTTTCATATGCACCATAGAAATTCATTGGTACCACCAAATACATTATTTTGATTTGATGAGTGCCATTGGCCAAGTGTTGCTTGTGATTTGGGTTCAAGGAACCGTGGAATTTGTTGATTAGTCAGTGGATTGCTTGTGGTTGCTAGAACTGAATGTTAGCCACTCACCTCATTGAACTATTAAAATGCTACTGAGGTGCACTAGCTTACTCATCCAAGCCTTTTGGTGTTTTATTTATTTTTTCATTTGAGAACTGGATGTCCTAATTTTTTAGTTAAGTTTTTCTTAGAAGTTAATGTTATCGTTCCAACACATATTTGCAGCAAACACATTTTCTAGGATGCCGTCTTTTGAAGATTGCTCGATTTCACTGTGGCCCCCTAGCGAAAACACACGGCAGGTTATTGTGGAGCGAATGTCCAAGAATCTTTCAACTCCATCCATATTTTCTAGGAAGCATGGCCTTCTAACCAAAGAAGAGGCTGAGGAGAATGCTAAACAAATTGAAGAATCAGCCTTTGCTGCTGCAAATCAGCACCATGAGGAGTCAGATGATAATGGCAGTTCTGCAGTGCAACTTTATGCCAAGGAATCTAGTAAGCTCATGCTGGAAGTTCTTAAAAGAGGCCCACAAATCAAGGAGGATGAAGGCAGTCTGATATCTGACCAAGATACTGCACCTCATGCAACATTATTTGATATATCTGGAGGTCGTCGGGCCTTTATTGAGGAAGAGGAGGCAAAGGACCTTTTAAAACCATTAATGGAGCCAGGGAATGCATACACTAAGATATGCTTCAGTAACAGGAGCTTTGGGATTGGTGCAGCCCACGTTGCAGAACCCATCTTAGTGTCGCTCAAGAACCAATTGACGGATGTAGACCTTTCAGATTTTGTTGCTGGACGGCCAGAAATGGAAGCCCTTGAAGTAATGAATATATTCTCGTCAGCCTTGGAAGGTTGTGTTTTGAAGTCCCTAAACCTCTCAAACAATGCAATGGGTGAGAAGGGTGTCAGGGCATTTGAAATGCTGTTGAAATCCCAGAATAACTTGGAGGAGCTCTATTTAATGAACAATGGCATTTCCAAGGAAGCTGCTCAAGCAGTAAGTGAATCGATTCCTTCCACAGAGAAGCTTAAAGTCCTTCATTTTCATAATAATATGACAGGAGACGAGGGTGCATTTGCTATTTCTAAGGTCATTATGCATTCTCCTGCATTGGAGGATTTCAGATGCTCCTCTACAAGAGTAGGTTCTGAAGGAGGTATTGTCCTGGCTGAGGCACTAGGTACATGTACTCATTTGAAAAAACTGGATCTGCATGACAATATGTTTGGTGTTGATGCTGGATTTGGCTTGAGTAAAGCTCTTTCAGGACATACATCTCTAACTGAGGCTTACCTCAGCTATCTCAACTTAGAAAATGAAGGGGCAATAGCTCTTGCTAATTCTCTGAAGGAATCTGCTCCATTACTTGAAGTATTGGAGCTGGCTGGGAATGACATCACCATTGAAGCTGCTCCGGCCTTAGCTGCCTGTATAGCAGCTAAACAGTTCCTTGCTAAGCTTAACTTGGCTGAGAATGAACTGAAGGACAAGGGTGCTATTCTGATCGGAAAAGCACTGGAAGAAGGCCATGGCCTATTAGAAGAAGTTGATTTCAGCACTAATTCAGTAAGAAGGGCTGGGGCGAGGTCCTTGGCACAAGCTGTAGTAAATAAGCCTGAGTTTAAGTTGCTGACTATCAATGGGAATTGCATTTCTGATGAAGGTATTGATGAGGTAAAGGAAATATTCAAGAAATCACCTGATGTGCTAGGGCCCTTTGATGAGAATGATGAGGAAGGGGGAGAAGGTGGTGAAGAGGAAGAGATGGGTGATGAAAATGGGGATGAATTGGAATCGAAACTTAAACATCTTGAAGTCAGCAACGAGGAAAAGGAAATATTCAAGAAATCACCTGATGTGCTAGGGCCCTTTGATGAGAATGACGAGGAAGGGGGAGAAAGTGATGAAGAGGAAGAGAAGGGTGATGAAAATGGGGATGAATTGGAATCTAAACTTAAACGTCTTGAAGTCAGCAATGAGGAATAGCAGACTATGATGGATTCTGATATCAACTTTTAACTTGTTGAAGAGGTTTAAAGGATTTTTCTTGTGATATTTGGAATTGATCAGCTCATTGTATCCTACTAATACAGTTACTGATTCTGTAACTCAACCACTCGAGTCAGTAATGGGTCATGTTTTTTTTTTCTCCCCATTCCAAGAACACTGATTTAATTATTTATTTTTATTTCTGATGTTACTTTAGTGAATTGGAATGGATTTTGTTCTGCTTTTTGCTTAGATGGTTGATATGTTTTGAGATATGCTGGTATGTGTGAGTTGTGCTAGATTCAAATTTCCTCACAAATCCAAGTCTTTTGTGGCTTGATGGCCTCAAAATGACAAGGGCAATAGAGTTTCGATTACCAAAAGATTTTCATTTTCACACTATTTAGCAAATAACAGATATATTTTAAAATTTGTTCTAATTGCAATGCAACTTAATTTTGAATTAAATATTACTAATCTTATCGCTGGGGTTATGGTGAATTGTATTTTCTAATAAATTCAGGGTCCGTTTGGTTAATTGTTGGAATTAGAATCAAAATTCTTTGGAATCAGAATCGGAATGGTCTATTCTCATAATCTGTTTGGTTCAGATAAGAATGGGAATGGGAATTGGAATCAGCATGATGGGATTTCATTTCTAAGGGTAAGGGAGGGTCAGGAAATGGCCATTCCCTCAAATGGGGGAATGCCATTAACAGGAGTGGGAATGGGATTTTGATTCCATCCAACCAAACAGTTGGAATTGGAATAGCCCATTCCGATTCCAATTCCATTCCCACGAGCCAAACAGGGCCTCAGTTTTTACCACTTTCTCAAATCTGTGAAAATACATTGGTCATGTGATGATTTTATGCACTTTGAGTTAAATTAAAAGTAACAATAATAACAATAAAGACTTCATTTTTAGTACTTTAGGCTCAGTTTGGAAGGAGTATAAATACAAATATGTATTGTGCAAATACATACAAAATAATATAAAATACAAGGTTTTGCACTCTACAAATTTGTATTTGTACTCCTTCCAAACTGAGCCTTAGTGTTAAAATCAAAGTTCAAAGTATCAAAAGACATAATATAGGAAAGTCAAACTTAAAAGATGTATGATACCTTTGAACACCCATGCCTACAGTCGAAAAATTAGGATACACATGGGTATGCACTTTGCTAGTGAAACTTCAATAAATCCTAATGATTCAATAACACTAAATTCAAGTCTTAGATGTTTATAAATGAAGTATATACATATAAGAAACACATTTATGTGAAGTGTGAACTATTAGGACACACTTGGAAAATGTTAAAAAGTATAGAATAATTAAAGATATAAATTTTTTTGACACTAATATTATTCTAATAGAAAAGTAAATTTTAAATTTAAAACAGAAACTGTTACCAAAATGAAATAGGTGTAGTCTTAACTGGTCAGTGGGTTGTTTTGCAACCTATCGAATATGGTACTAGTTCAAGTAAATTTGTCTTAGCTCAGTTTAGAAGGAATATAAATACAAATATGTACAATACAAATACATACAAAATAATATAAAAATACATAGTTTTGCACTTTACATATTTGTATTTATACTTCTTCCAAACTGAGCCCTTACTACAAATATCTAAGTGCTCTCACGGTCTCACCCCAAAGATTTTAAATGTGCAAAGCTATTCTCTTCATCCAGCTACTCAATTTTACAACATTGAAGTTTTTAGAAAACGAAATAGTTGGTTATCATTAGAATTTCATCTTTCAGAGGAATACTATGGCATCTGAAACCCAGGTAATTGGTCCAACACCCCTCCCCTCAAATGACTGTTTCCCTTCCCTCTACATATTTGTATTTGTGATGCAAATGCTAGTTCAATACATAAATGTATTCTGGGTCAGTTTTGCAAGCATTTGGTAAGCATATATCCATGTACTGATAATGACAACTATCACAATTTCTAAGACATGTTTGTATTCACAATTGATACAAAGTTTGTATCAATTTTTTAAGCTCAGTTCGGAAAGAGTACAAATACAAATATATAGGGTGTAAATACATACAAAATTTAAGGTTTTGCACTCTACATATTTGTATTTGTACTCCTTTCAAACTGAGCCTTTGGCTGTGTTTGGTTGCAGTGCAATTTTATTTGCACTAGTACAAATGCATGGGAGTACAATGAAAAAAATGTAAATTCTTGTTTAATTTTGTTTTTGGTTTTACTTTATTTTGGTTCAGATCTTGATTTACTTCATTTATACTGCAATCAAACAAAACAAACTAAAATTTAAAACAAAAATATATCAGAATTTTCTCAAATCATTTGACTATCATAGTTTTGCATCAGTGCAAATTTATTTACATTGCAACCAAACACAGTCTTAGATATAAACTTTGCACTCATAGTTAATTAAATGTAAAAAAAGGTGGATTTCAGTCTTGGAATCTGTGCAACAAAAAACCTTTTGGTTGGAACACAGAATTAAACTAGTTTGTATTCATGAAGCTGTCAAGAGAAGTTTTTGAATGGTATATATTTGTTTTTGCCCTAGAAATAAATGCAACCTTAGTAACAATGATAAAAAAGGACTGGACTAGACTACGACAAACAAGATCTAAGTAGATACAATGACAACATTCCTTTCTCCAACTCAACCTACCAAAATCATATAAATCTGATTTCTAATTCAAGATTCGATATAATCGAATCGAAATATCTAATCAATCGAATTAGATATGACCTGATTTGATTCGATAAATATATGAATTCGACCAATTATTTAATTCTTATATAAATTATATGAATAATTTATATATTTATATATTTTATATAAATAAAATATTTATTAATGACCTAAAATAATTAAATGGTCGAATTCGAATTTAAATTTGAATCGAGTCGAATATTTGAATATTTAATCGGATTCGAATATTAATTTTCAATATCCGTTGTATATCAAATCAAATTCAGATATCAAATTTTCTAATCGGATTCAAATTCAGATATTGACTGATTTGATTCAAATTTGATTTGTTTACAACCCTATGAACAAGTGGAAAACAATGTTTCCAAGTAAACCTCATGAGAGCACTGATGAAAATGACCAACAATAAACCTCCTTGTAGCAAACCATCAACATATATCGGAAATCTACCGTAATGACTTGGATATAATGTTGTACACAACACGGTTTAAAATTTTGACATGATACACTTGATACAGGGCCTATTGCATCATATCTTTGAAGGATTGAGTGAGATACGATGAGAAATAAGTGGTATCATTTTTCCTCATTGTATTGCACCCATATCGGCCATGCGTTGGGCGTATTAGTGGTGTAATGAATGTATAGGTCGATATGATATAGGTAACAAATGAAAAAACTGAAGGGGATAAAAGCTTCTTTCCCTCAAAATAAGTCTTCTTTCACCTCCAAATGACTCTAAAATTCCAAACTTCATTTTTAGAGTGTTATATATTTATAAAAAATATAAGAAATAAGCATGAATCATCAAAGTTTTTGAAGATTTTTCGAGTTTTGAAAAAATATTGCAAAAATAGGTAAGCTTTTTTCAAATTTTCTCATAATATCTTAGTGATTTCTTGTTTTTTCTTGAATGCTTGAAAATGTTTAAACTATGTTGATTTGCATATGTATGAAAATTTTATGAAGAAATTTGGGAAAAATATAAAATAACAAAAAAAAATTGAAAAATGTATTTTTTTATCTACCTCTAAAGACTATATGCTCATAAAGATTATGTATGTTGTAGATCTATGAATGATCTATCATATCCATAGAGCAATTAAAGTTTCTTCTTCAATAATTATTATTTTTTATTTCTTTATATTTTTTAGAACAAAAAAATTAATTGTACTTTTATGATCTAATCATAAGAATTAAATATATTGTAGATCATTGGATAATTTTTCATATCCACAATGCAATTGAAATTTCTTCTTTAATAATTTTTTGAATATATTGTACAATCTTTATTTAAATTTGATTTTTTTTGTAATATTTGGAATTAAAAATAGATAATAATTATTTAAATAAAAATAATTATTAATTATATTTTCACTTTGAAGTTATGCCAATGTGTGCTTTATGGTTGGATAGGATAGTTGGGGTTTTCCCATCTCTTAGAACTTAAGAATTATAATTTATAAATTATAGTCAAGTATAAGGTCTTTTAACAAAAAATATAATTAACTATGATGTATTTTTCATAAAACCCACAAAAATTATAATTGACTATGATATATTTTTCATAAACCCATTAAAATATATTAATTTAATGTATATATACTTTATTTAGGCCTTGTATCTAGTGTTATTGATATATTTTTATAATTTATTAAAGTATTTATAATGTTTCATGCATATCTTAATTTTTCTTCAATACACATGCATATCTAAGACATATCCTAATGAATCTCTTAAAATTGTCTTTCCAATACACTTGACATTTCCCATACTTTGAATCATGGTACACACTACACCCGATCTCAGTCAGTGTACATTTCATTTTGACCTTTTATTGATTAACTGTTTAATATTTATGAAGGGACAACCATGTCCTTTGGAAGATATCACCCGACTCAGATATACCATCAAGAACAATAGATCACATAGGGGATACCTTCTCACCCTCCAGCAGCCAAGCTACAGACGTGAAACACCGGCCTCGCTTGTTTTGGAGCAAGTTCAGCCTCAATTCTCTAATTTGGCACATCTATTCCGAATATGCTCTTATCCATTTACGATGATTTTATCACATTCATATCCCAAAACTTCTCCGAAAGCAATCACTCAATCTAAAATGGAAATCTTCATATTCAAACAGGAAAATGATAGATAGCCCCTGAATCTTTCCTGCTTTTGGTAAATCATGTAACTATTTTTTGAAAGAAAAAAGATCTATTATTTGCATCATGAGATGTTACTACTAAAAATTACCATAAATGAATTGGAATAGGGGCACGAGCCACCAGCAGTCAGAAATAAGCTCTTTCAACTGGAGTACGAGGAATGGTGTGAAAATCACTACCCTGAAGAAGAATTCCAGAAACCAAGGTTACAATGACAAGGCTCAGCTACAGTACATATAAATCCCTTCGTGATTTGGTGTTAGCTTTGATTAGTGTCAATCAAACCCATCCATTTCCTCTGCCATTAGAATTCTGTCCTTTTGCATCAGATGATGAGGAACCTGGAACACCATGGCTTGATCTCTTCCTCTTGTGGGTCTTCCATGTAAAGATGTCCCCACTCCAACCATAGTCCCCAATGCCTTCATATTCAGGTTTGTTACACTGTACAGGTCCAGATTTGAGCCTCTTCGGGGTCCGGCTCATGAAATTTTCGCTTGCTCCCTCACTGGTCATAGACTCACCATTTCTTGGCTCTGATAACTTTTGCTCTACCCCGACATGATCACTGGTTGACTCATTGGCATCAGGAGGAAGATGCTCTCTCCTGCTGGTCATGAGCTTGGACAAGTCTTCTCCATTTTCAACAGCTTTCATCCACTGTACGTCACTCAGTGTATCAGCATAAACCACCTCTTTTCTACGTCGTTTCCCTGTAATGCTACCACTGTTGGGTTCAGTATCTTTGGTCTTATCTGCATTATCAGGGACAGAATATGCCCAATCAGGTACCTCATGTTCCTCCATCAATCTTGATCTGTAGTTCTCCTTTTGTCGTCTTTCCTCATCCATCTTCTCAAACAACCAAAATTCTTCTTCCGTTCTAGCTGCAAGACGATTTATCTCTCTCTCACTAGGCACATCTGTCCCTAATGAGTCGGTACCTCTCCGCATGATCTCCTGCAACATCTCTCTTCTGTCCTGAGCTGCACAAACAAAGATCAACTAGGTTTACATGGCCAAGTTTTATAAATAAAAGTTGATAACCATATCCAATTTTCAAGCAGTATAATGTTGAAAGCTGTCAAGTTAAATTTCTTCAATCTCAACGTATAGATACATCCACATTTTTACACTATAACTATTATGGAGTCACTGCTGAAGGATCAAGAGTCATACCTGTGGAAGTTGTATTAAATAATCCAGCCTGGATGACCTTGGCATCAATGCCCATTTTCTGTTTTGCGCGTTCCAATATAACCTCTTCAATTGAACCAACACTAATGAGCACAAAAACCCTAACTTCCTTCTTTTGCCCTATGCGATGTGCTCGATCCTCTGCCTGTTGATCCATTTGGGGATTCCAATCACTATCAAAGATAATGACAGTGTCTGCAGTTTGTAAGTTCAGACCAAGGCCTCCAGCACGTGTGCTTAGAAGAAACATGAAAATTGGAGAATCTGGTGCATTGAACTGCTTTAGTAGTGCCCCTCTTTCTTCTGTCTTTGTTGAGCCATCAAGTCTAAGATACTTAAAATCATGCAGTTGCAGATAAATTTCAAGAATGTCTATGAGGCGTGTCATCTGTGAGAAAAGCAGAACTCTGTGCCCTGCTTTTTGGAGTTTTGGAAGTAGGCGATCAAGCAGTTCGAATTTTCCTGATGCTCTCACAATCTCTTCCTTACGCCACATATTGTATTCTCCAACAAAAAGGTATGGATGATTACAGCACTTCCTTAGTTGCATTGACAGATTCTGTAAACTCTTTGACTTCCCAGATCCTGCATATTGTCTTATTAGTAATATGTTTGATTTTCCTCCCTTCAGCAAGTTAAATCCGATTAAAGGGAGAAAGATGAATATAATAAAAAATTAGATAGCTTAAATTTGACATAAGATACTTCAAGGAAAATAAGAATAATCACATTAAGAACAAAGTTTTTTTGGTAATAAATAAAAAGGAAATTTTATTGAAAAACAGAAGAAAGAGAAAGTACAAGAAAGGTGATAAGAAATCACCCACAAAGAGGATAAGAAAAAACCAATAAGCCAAAAACCCTCCAGGACCCTTGAAGCACAAACAAGAACTTCCCCTTCCCTTATCCATTTAGATCCAACCACTTACTACCAAAATCCACTCTCCTCAAGACCCCAAAAAAACAATGAACCCAGAAGAAACCTTTAAACCACCCTTCCCTAATCTCAACTGATTTCCTCAATCAACATGATGAAGATGATGAACAACAATGAGAATACTACATGATGAAGATGCTCCAAATTTAATTCTAACCTCATTTTGACCTCAAATAATTTTCCAGAACCAGAGAAGGAGGATCTCAATGATCAAGAAAGAAAAAGGAAAAGAAAAATGCCAACCATCTAGTGAAAAGACATAAGTAGGGTGGCCAAAATCTATATTTGGGTGGGAATGAAATGGAAGAGAGAAAGTAAATCTTAAAGTTTGCTTATGCGAATTGGTTTCATTTAAAGGGCAAAAGAGGAAACTAGTTTCTGCTGCACATTTTTAGTAAGGTGCACTGAACTTATTTTTGCTGAAACGTGAATCCTGTTGTGTGTGCGTGGAGGGCAGGGGGTAGCCATTTTCTTTTCCCTCCCAGCAAAGAAATCTAACAAAAAACCTTCATTCATCTTGAAGCAACCATCTCTCTCCTATTCAGAAAGAACTTATTTAGGGTTTGGAAGTTCTTTGAAGATGATAAAGATGCAAGAGATACGGAAATTGCAACAGTTTCAGCTACTGACTGCCTGAAATTTAAAGGACATTGGTAGAGAGAAGCTCTGATGGTGGAAATGGCAAGAACAAGTTAAGAACAGGGAGTCAAGTGAAGATTTATGCAAGATAACTGGGTTTGGATGATCAGTGAATTGCAAAATGCCATTGTTCTACAGTCTGTGTTTGTTTGTGTGCATGTCAAGTTGTTTCAATCTAGAAACCGTTTGCAGTAGATCCCTCAGTGTAACTGTGCTCTGCTTATACATCGCTGCATCCAAACAGTAGAAGTGGAATCCAAGGACTAGCATCCAAACAACAGAAATACATTATCAATGGATTCATATTCTATGGGCTTTGGTATCAGTGGAAGAGGATTCCTCGAGTCAAATTCCATTTACACTTCCACTGGGCGATCCAAAAACATCCAAAGTGTAGGTGCAAACTTATTAGAACTTCGATAAGATTTAAGATCTGTTGCCGAACTCCACAGTATGCTGCCCCTGCAGTACCTTGTGGACCATTGTGTGACCTAGATATCTCTTGAGCTTTACTGTTGAAAAGAAGTTATTGAGAATTGGCAACCCATACTATATTAACACAGACACTTGAAGCACAATCTGATACTACCATTCCAACATGCATCAACTACATGTGCATTTGGTTACTAACATCTTCAAGGCATGATTCAACAGTTAATTTTCAATGGATCATTATCAGCAGAGATTAACAAATTACAATAACCATTGGATGAATGAGGGGTCATCCAGGGGTGCACATCAAGGCAAACTTGTTAGAATATAAATATTACCTTTCCTTCCACACTAAACTCTTCCATTGGATTCCAAGATCAGCCAATTCCACTGCTAGTCTTGTTAGAGAGGGTGTATATTGTTTGTACAGAGAGCCCTACATTTAGCTCATCTTGCTTTCAATTCTTTTTTAATGTGTAACTCAGGGTTGTGTGCATTCTTTTTCATTTTGAACTAGCGTCAGGCCCCTGAATAAATATTTTATCAGAACAAGTGAAAAAAAGTAAAGTTTTTTCTTAATTGTAAATTTTGAAGCTCACATCATATAAGAATTTTAAAGAAAATATAAAAAATAAATTGATGCCAAAAATAATATCTATATAATCTAATGTTGTTGGAGATCAAAACCATTTTAAAAAACAAATTACCTAATTACTTTATGGATATATGGAGCCACCATGGAAGTATCCTACAAATAATTAAAAATAGTTGATCCAAAATAAAAAAATAATAAAACAAAAATGCCAATATCCCTATTATAGCCTATTTTGAGCTAGGGAACATTTTCCTTGAAAAGTTGCTAAATCCCTGACTTTCCCCCCTCTCTCCCCCTCCCATCCCTCCCCACCCTCTCTCCCTCACTCCCCCCAACCCCTCCAACAATATACACTTGATAAAATGTCTTAGTGCATATCATATGTTAAGTTACTTAATTTTGCTTAAATGTAATTTTCAAGACTTTATTAATTACTTTAAAGTCATTAATTGTAATTGTAAAATTATTTGTTTTAAAATTCGAGTAATTAATGTAATTTAAGTATTTAATTAGTTTAATTAAATTAGTAATTAATTAATTTACCATATTTAATCAATTAAATTAAATTAACTAAATTAATTACACTAAATTAATTTGCTTCATTTACCTAATTGAAATATCTAAATTTTTTTTCAAAGTTATAGTAAGGCATACTCTATAATACATTCAACGAAAATTGATGGAACATGAATTTTGCCTTGCAAATATTACAATTGAAATCATATCACTTCTCTTTCTTTCTCTCTCTCAATCTTTGAAACGTCAATTGGCCACACATTTACTCCATTTTATCCTTCCTGATCACAAAAAATCTAACCATCAATTGAAATCATGGATTTTTATTTTATTTTATTTTATTCAAATATAAGCCAAAAAAGATAAAACTCTAAAAATTTATTTATTTTTTAAAACAAAGGCACGGGCCCGAGCCAATGTGTATGTGTTAATCGAGCCAAGCTTACGAGCTTTCGAGCCAAACGTTTTATTGGTCGAGCCCGAGCTCGAATAATTAATCAAGCTTTACCCTAAGGTTCGAACTCGAATCAAACCTAATCGAATTCGAGCCCAAACTATTCGATTAGAGCTCGATTCGATTGTGACCTTAGTTGGGATAGGTTTTATTTTTAGGCCTAGCCCAAGCCTGCAAATTTCTAAGTCAAGCTTGGGCCCAATACTTTAGGCCTAGCCCAAGCCCGACCCAATGGAAGGAGTGGTTGAATTCTTGGAGAGAGAAAGAGAGTGAGGGGAGATAGAATGTTTTAAAATATTAGTTTTCTTTCGTTTCATGGAATTTGATTGAGACGTTAAATAGAGGTAGATGAAAAGGCCAGGCTTGGCCCAAAAATTCTAGGCTTGGTCCTAAGTTTTACGTTTAAACTTGGTTTGGGCTTGGCCCTGCATTAGGCCCATAAAATTTTAGCCAAGCTTTGGCTCAATACTTTAGCCCAAGTGCCCAACTTGAGCTTACATTAGGCTCACAAATTTCCAAGTCAAGCTTGGGGCCAACCAACCCAAGCTCGACCTGGGCTTGAGCCTAGGCAGCTTGTTCAAGGCTTGGGCCTAGGTTGCTTGTCCAAGCATGGCCCTAGGCTTATATTGATTAATTGAAAAAACATATTAAAAAACATTTATTATCTACAAGATTCCATTTTGCAAAAGCTCATGAGGTGTCTATATATATATAATATGTATTTCTATTATTGGTCAAAAAAGAAGAAAGAAGATCCATAGTCTAAGATGTTGATAATTGAGTGCTATAGTGTGCATTCATGAATCTCCTAAGGTAACTGGTAATCTCATATGCATTGTCAGTCTGAAGTCTTGTCCTGTTTTATAGATATCGGTCAAGAAAGAAAGAAGATGGATTCATAAAGTGCACTCACGATGTTTGTCAATAGATCTCCTATAGTAACCTCACAGACATTGTGAATTTGATTAAATCCTTATCTTGAATCATAGACATCATGAAAAAAAAAATGAAGAGTGGGAGAACCATTGGAGGAACCTGATGGCTAGAGCCTTACCCAGAGTCACTTCTGATCACTACCCTATCCAGTTAAGTCCTGAAACACTAGCCTTTGGTCCACGACCATTCAGATTTGAGAATATGTGGTTGACTCACCCGAATTTTGTGCATCTAATTGGGGATTGGTGGAGGGAAGAGGTAAGAGGGGTGAAGTGGAAGGGAGTGAGATTCCACAAGAAGCTAAAAAGGTTGAGATCCAAGATCAAGGATTGGAACAGGGAACACTTTGGAAGAAACTTAAAGAAGGATTTGGAAGAGGTTCTTCTGAGAGAGGAAATTTCCTAGAGGCAAAAGTTAAGACATAGATGGATTAAGGTAGGGGATGGAAATACAAAATTTTTCCATGCGTTGGCTAATGGGAGGAGAAGGAAAAATTTTGTGGCTAAGTTAGAGGTAAATGGGGAGGAAGTCACAAATCAAGATGAGATAGCAAGACTGTTTGTGGATCACTTCAAATCAATCTATAGAAAACCTTTGATTAATAGGCCAACATTGGAGAATTTGGAGTGGACTAGGTTATCTGAAGAACAAGTGTTTTGGTTAGAGAGGGATTTCAGTGAAGAAGAGATCCGACAGGCGATATTTTCAATGGATAGATCCAAAGCACCTGGCCCAGATGGCTTCACAATGGCTTTTTATCAGGACTGTTGGGATGTGGTAAAAGAAGATTTTATCGAGGTGTTTCAGGAGTTTGTAGATACGAAAAGGGTAAGCCCTGGAGCTCATGCCACCTTCTTAGCCCTAATCCCAAAAAAGATAGATGTGAAGGACCGTAAGGAGTACAAGCCGATTAGTCTGGTTACAAGCACCTATAAAATTCTGGCCAAAGTGTTGTCCTTAAGAATTCGAGTAGTACTACCCTCCATCAATAGTCAAGCACAAGGTACTTTTGTGCAGGGAAGGCAAATAACAGATCAGATCCTAATAGAAAATGAGTGTGTGGAGGACATGAGAAAGTCGGGGAATCAAGGTTTTGTATGTAAGTTAGACTTGGAGAAGGCTTATGATTTTGTGGATTGGAGCTTTTTATTAGAGGTCCTTGGGTGTTGTGGTTTTGGAGATAGATGGTGCAACTGGGCAAAGGGTTGTATTAGCTCCTGTCATTACTCAGTCTTGGTGAATGGGGTGGTCAAAGATTTTTTCCCTACCTGTAGAGGCCTTAGACAAGGTGACCCTCTTTCCCCATTTCTTTTCACCTTAGTTGCAGATGTTTTCAGCAGATTAATCTCTAAGGCAGATAGGGAAGAGGAAGTGAGTGGCTGGAAGATATGAAGGAATAACATTAGGGTAACCCACCTACAGTTTGCTGATGATATCATAATTTTTTGTGAAGAGGGTGACAGGCAAAAAGTGAGGAATTTTTTGTGGTCTAGACCGGTTCCACCTAAAGTTATTATTTACTGTTAGGAGGTGTTTTATAGAAAGATTAATACCCTGGACTGTTTGTAGAGGAAAAGACCTTCTTTGTGTTTGTCCCCTAACTGGTGTGTACTTTGCAGGGCTAGTGGTGAGGACTGCTCTCACTTACTTGTATCTTGTTCCTTTTCTAGTGCTATTTGGAGTTGGATTTTCTCTTTGTTTGGGTGCAGGTGGAATCTGTCCACAGATTTAAGTCAGCTATTCGATCCTTCATTTTTTGTGTGGCCTACGAGACAAGGAAAAATAATGTGGAGATGTATTAGAGCAGCCGCCTTGTGGACAATATGGGAAGAAAGGAATGCAAGGGTATTTAAGGAGGAGGAAAGAAGCACTCAAGTTGTTGAGGACTGTATATTAACTAGGGCCATTCATTGGTTGAGAACTATGGGCCTATTTTATACGTTCTCCTTTGATGATTTTTGGAGAAACTGGTTAGCGGTGGCTAACAGCCATACAAGGAAGGACAGGAATTCTGTTGTGTGGATGCCTCCACCTGAAGGATGGGTAAAGCTGAATTTTGATAGAAGCAGCCAAGGAAACCCAGGCCCTTCCGGGATAGGAGGGGTGCTGAGAGATAATGAAAGCAAAATATTAGCATTGTTTTCAGGCCCCATGGGAATAGGAGACTCCAATAGAGCTGAGTTATTAGAGGCAGTACAAGGTATCCAGATTGCAGAACAGTTAGGAGTCCAGCACTTGGTAGTTGAAGGGGACTCTGAGATTGTTGTGGGATGGCTGACAGAACCAGCTTCAGCTACGTGGCGACATAGAGATATGCTAAGGAAAGTCAACTGGATCACAAAAGACATGGMTGTTACCTTTCATTGGGTGGGAAGATCAGCAAATGCCTTAGCGGATGGGKTAGCTAAGCAAGGGGCCTCAAGGGAACATTTATTTTGGGCTGCTTTGTAATTTTAGTTCTGGTTAATTTTGGTCAATTCTGCTTTAGTTTGATGTAATATTTGTTAGAAGAGGTAACAACTCGTGCCTCCTCTTGGGTCTACTGTATTGCCTCATATTGCTGTTTTAATAAATTATATTCATTCATAAAAAAAAAATGAGAACAGATGAAACCAGAACCAGAGATTCTTTCTCTATTTTTCTATTCTTTTGCCTAGGGGATAGGGGTTAGTTAGCTAATAAGATGCATATAAGAACTTCCTTGTTGACACAAACAATCATCCACACTTAAAATTGGGAAAAATTATTCATGGCTGAAACCAGGAAGAAAAATAAACTCACCAGTATCAAGACCAACTCTGCCCACATTAGTGACCTGTTGATAATATACTTTCTGCCACGCTGACAGATCACATTTCAGTATGACCTGTATTTTCCCAGGAAGAAACTTTTCCACTTCATCTTTCTTCCTCCTCAGTATGAATGGTCTTATAACCTGGAGATCCCATAACATGTGAGAAATGAGAACTGAAAAGGGTTACACAAAACAGAATTTGGGTAGCTACAAAAACTCACCTGATGCAATCGGCGAATAATCAATAACTCTTCTTCATCTGTAAGAGAAACATCACATCGATCTGCAAAGGGTGCATTAAACCACTCTTCGAAATTCTCCACAGAATTAAAAATGCTTGGTAGGAGGAAATTAAGCAGGGCCCACAGCTCCTGCAGACTATTCTGTATTGGTGTACCAGTTAATAGAAGTCTACGTCTAATGCGATAGCTGCACAAAAAAATAAATGCGATTAGAGATGCTAAGTTCCTTTTCTGTTAGGACAAAATACAACATGGAAATAGCAATAAATTAATTAGAAAGATGATAGAGGAGTAAAAGGAAAAACATAGCAATCTTCTGGACATACAACATTACATATGCTACTTCCAGAAGACTGCAAACTTAAATATGCTATTTACAGAACAATGTTAACTTAAATTTGAGCGTGGCTCAAAAACAGTTCTGTTTTTTGTTGCTGATATTAAAAACAGTTCTGTTTTTCTCTTTTATTTTTTATTGCACAATGATGTAACATAGATGCAGGAGGATTTAAAAAGATGTTACCAAAACCCAGGATTTTATATGTTATACTATCCCAAATGCAAGGACCTATAAGCTTTTAATGCATGTATATACAAAAGAGTAGGAGAATAAACAGCAACAACCAAAGGCTTTACAATGTAAATAAACACATTAGAAGGGTTGAAATCTTCCAAAGCTAATGCCAAGATCATTAATGAACTACGAGCATCTGCACAAATGCAAGAGAAGAAAAACAGCCTTTTGAAATGAAAGGACTGTTCAAAATGTTGCAGAAAATTGATTAAGAATAGCAGAAATCAGGTTTCAAGAAGAGAGGAGAGGAAGAAGAAGATGGCGGCAATAAGGGTTCAGAGAGAGATTTTCGAACATAATCTCCTCTTACACCCCTATTCCTATTTCATTAACTTAATTTTAGTAATTTACAGAGGCCCTAAGTTGAGGCCCATTACAGCAAAGAACATAAAGAAACAAAATAAGACCAACAGTCTATGGCCATTGGGCCCATCTTCTCTATACTCCCCCTGAAGTTGAGCATAGATGTCAATCATGCCAAGCTTGCCTATATCATGCTGAAGTTTAGCCTTGGGGATGCCCTTGGTAAGGAAATCAGCTAGCTGTCTTTCAGAAGTGATGAAAGGTAGACAAACTTCTCCAGAAGCCACTCTTTCTCAAATGAAATGTCTATCAACTTCAATATGTTTGGTTTTGTCATGTTGCACTGAATTGTGAGCAATATTGTGGCAGCCTGATTATCACAGTATAACATCAATGGCTTATCATGCTCCATACCCAGTTCTTCCATCAAGGATCGAAGCCACAACAACTCAGAAACTCCATGAGCCATGGTTCTGTATTCAGCTTCGACTGAAGATCTGGCCACAACTGATTGTTTCTTGCTTCTCCAAGAACAATATTACCTGCCACCAAAGCTACAATACCCGGACATAGATCTTCTGTCATCGACATTTCCAGCCCAATCAGCATCTGTGTAGGCTTCGAGCTTCATATGACCATGCTTAGCAAATAGAATTCTCTTTCTAGGAGAACCCTTCAAATAGCATAGAATTCGTTCTGCTGCTGCCATGTGAGTATCCCTGGGAGCATGCATGAACTGATTAATGCAACTGACAGCATATGCAATGTCTGGCCGAGTCATGCACAGATAGAACAGTTTCCCAAGTAGCCTAGAATACTCCCCTTATCTTTCAACAATATTCCATCTGAGGCAGAGAGTTTATGACTCATATCAATAGGAGTAGCAACTGGTTTAGCACCCATCTTCCCTGTTTCAATGAGCAAGTCAAGTACATACTTTCGTTGAGAGATAAGAATCCCATCCTTAGATCGAGCAACTTCTATGCCAAGAAAACATCTTAATTCCCCCAGATCTTTGATCTCAAACTCTATATGAAGGAAAGATTTAAGATCATTCATCCCTAATACATCATTACCAGTCACAACTATATCATCAACATACACTATCAGATATACTGCCAAAGATCCTCTCCTCTTCACAAAGAGGGTATGATCAGACTAAGTTTGTACATGGCCAAAGTTAACAAGGGCAGCCCTAAACCTTTCAAACCATGCCCTAGGGGACTGTTTAAGTCCATAAAGAGATTTCTTCAGCTTGCAGACTTTCCCTTCCATATCTGTTTCATACATACCTGGAGGCAGAAACATATAAACCTCCTCATGTAACTCTCCATTCAGAAATGCATTCTTTACATCTAGCTGGTAAAGTGGCCAATCTGAGTGTGCAGCCAGAGATAGCAGAACTCTCACAGAAGTCATCTTTGCAACARGAGCAAARGTCTCYAKATARYCAATCCCATATGTCTGTGTATAACCTTTTGCAACCAGCCTAGCTTTGTACCTTTTAATGGTGTCATCAACATGATATTTGTTGGTAAAAACCCACTTACAACCTACTGGTTCCTTCCCTTCAAGCAAATCAACCACTTCCCAAGTGTCATTCTTATGCAGGGTATCAATTTTTGTTCTCATAGCATCCCTCCATTCTAGAATATTAAAAGCTTCTGACACAAACCTGGGTATTGGGTTAGAAGCAACAGAAGAAAGATAGCCAAAATATGAAGGAGAGAGCAAACTATAAGAAAGGTGTTTGGAAATGCAGTGTGCAGTACACTTCCTTTTACCTTTCCTGATAGCAATAGGGACATCAAGGTCTGGGAATGATGGCTCCAAAGGGGTTGTATCAGTACTTGTTGTCTCTTCTGTGACTGGAAGTGCAAGAGGCTCATGTGATGTAGAGGAAACAATCTGCTCACTTCTAGTTCTCTGCCGTTGGTACAGCCTGGGATTAGAAAGAGGACAAGGAGGTAATGGAGGAGGAATAGGAACACTAGAATGAGAATGAGATGATTGATCCTCCCTTGACTCATTTGAAGGAGGAAGAGGCTTAGAAAAAGACTCAACTGGGACAGGAAGGGGGAGAGCAAACAACTGTGACAAATTCWCCCCCTTTGGACAATGCCTCTCCTGAGAAGGATAATAAAAAGAAGAAAGCTCATCAAAAGTGACATCCATTGAGACAATACCGAGTTCCAGTCTTTGGATCAAAACAACAATAACCCTTTTGTGTGGGGGAATAACCAAGGAAAATGCACTTGTGGGCTTTTGGTTCAAATTTATGTCTTTGGATACTTGGAATAYGTACATAACAAGTGCAGCCAAAGACACGGAGTGGAATAGGAAAAAGGTCCTTGCCCGGATGAAGAAGACTGAAAGGAGACTTAAACCCCAACACCCTAGATGGCATACGATTAATTAGGTAGGTTGCAGTGAAAACAATATCACCCCAAAATCTTGTAGGGACATGTGAGGCAAACAAGATACTTCTTGCAACTTCAACAATATGCCGGTTTTTTCTCTCAGCAACTCCATTCTGTTCTGGGGTCCTAACACAGGAGCTTTGGTGAATAACCTCGAAATCAGTGAGATAACAGGTTAGGTTTTTCTCAAAATATTCTTTTGCATTGTCGGATCTGAAAATTTTAATTCTTGTATCAAATTGGGTTAGAACAAATTCATGGAATTGCCTTACAAGTCTGAGAACTTCATCACGGGACTTCATCAAAAAATATCCAAGTATATCGTGAAAAATCATCAATGAACAGGATAAAATATTTGTAGCCACCCATAGAGGGTAAGTGGTAAGGCCCCCACACATCAGAGTGCACAATATGGAATGGAAAAGATCTTTCATTACTCAAAGGGTAACTGCTTCTATAACGTTTTGACAACTCACAAGACTCACAATGAAGACTTGACAAACTAATTCCCATAAATAGTTTTGGGAATAAATGACTTAATGAAATAAAAGAAAGATGACCCAAACAAAAATGACATAACATGACATGATTGACAGACTCTGAAGATGTAGATCCAAATGCAACTTTCCCAGGTTGTCCATGGCCCTGTCCAGGAGTGTCCAACAGATATATTCCATTCGCCTCATGGCCACTCCCAATCACTTCCTGAGACTCCAGATTCTAAAAAACACAGTAAGAAGGAAAAAAGGTTACATAACAATTCAAAGACTTAGTTAGGCTACTTACAGATAACAAATTTGTATTTAGTTTGGGTACATGAAGAGCAGAAGAAAGTACCAAAGAGTCTGTAGCCTTGATGGTTCCCTTGCCAGAGATAGGAGCAAGAGAGCCATCAGCTAGGGTGATTTTGTCACGGTCAGGAAGCAAATCATAAGAAATAAACAAAGTGGAAAGACTGGTCATATGATCAGAAGCACCAAAATCAATAATCCAAGGGATCCTACGATCACTTGCGATAGTTGCATAGTTAGCAAAAGCCCGTATACCTGAATGAGCAAATGCAGAAGAGGTTGAATTTCCTAGAGGGTTGGAAGAAGAGGCCACACCCTCTAGGTGACTGATCATCCTTCCAAACTTCTCATACTCTGCCTTCATAGCTGCTAACTGCTCACTAGCAATCTTCTCTTCAGTTAGGCATCTGTCACTATCTAAACCAACAGCAATATTGGCACTCCTTGCCTTCATATTATTATATTTCTTTTGAAAACGAAGAGGAAGAAGTTCCGTATGCAATTTCCAACACTTGTCTTGTGTGTGTTTTGGTTTCTTACAGTACTCACAAATAATTTCTTTCTTCCCCGAGCCAACTGGATTTCCTATAATTCCCTTAGGTTTCACCCCCATATTAGCAAAGTGATCATTTAGGCCAGCCCCTTGAACTTGGACTAATCTCCTACTTTCTTCACTACTTACCAAGGCATAGGCTTGAGACAATGAAACACTATCCTTGGATAAGGTATTCTGCTTTGTGATGTCATATTTCGGGATTCAACCTTGTCAAAAACTCAAACACCCTGTTTCTCTAAACAAGTTTCCTGTAGGTCTCAGCATCATTAGCGCTTTCCTAGGCTACAGTTTCCATCAAGTCAATTTCTTGCCATAGAGATTTCAGTATTGAGAAATAAACAGCAAAAGGTTTCTCCCCCTGTCTTAAATTTTTCACATCACTCCTTAGCTTGTATGCTCTGGCTACATTTAATTTCTAGGAATAGGTTTCAGCAACACTGCCCCATATTTCCTTTGCTGAACTCATCCACAAATAGTGTTGACTAATTTGAGGTTGCATTGAGTTCACTAACCATCCGATTATAGTATAGTTTTCTTGCATCC